GAAAGGTTTTAAATGATGAAAAATTTTACAATATTTCTTCTTCTTTTTTCTCGGAAAGTTATTAAATTATTAACATTCTTGCCTCTTTTTGGAAAGAGAGGGAGAGAGAGAGAGACCTCTGAGACCCTAAGGAAACGGGAGAAGCGGATCTCACTATTCATGCCACCTTCTAAATGTGTAATATATCACTTTCTGGGATTAAACAGGAGAAATGGGAGAGAGGCAGAGGTCTCTCTTAAGGGGGTGAAAAAAATTGGATATCAAGTCCACTTCAGTCAAAGAAACGAGCTAGACTCTGGTTTCTGTTGTTTAAGAGTAAATAACTCACGGACGCGCTGTCTTCTTATTTTTCTTCTTTTATTTTTCTCCACTTCTCCCCATCTTCTCAACACATTTTTAAAAGCGTGGTGGTGGTCTCTGTGTGCATTTTTAAAACCTTTATAAGGATGTCTAGGTCGTAGCAATCATCGTGTAACGCACACACAGACACACAATACACAAACACATACAAATATCCTCTCCCCACTCCATGATGCAGTTGCGAAGATTGCACCCATGAATAGATGCATGAAGAGATCTAGAAAGGGTGGTAAATACGTGGCCAGGTAACCAACCAATTCACAAAATACCTTAATAATTAACCAACTAATACTAAACAAGCATCTACCTAACTAATGGCGAAACATGATCCAGCCAGGTTAAACACGTATAACTCCCTGCGATCTTTAAAACGGGAAGCACGTGCTTAATTTCCCCACTGAAATCAGGACTTAAAGACGGATTTATTTTGGCTGGAGAGAGGGGGGGGCAGACAGACAGACAGACAGATACTGAGTAGGAAAGTAGCACGTACAATCGAGCACATTTGTAAAAGCAAACCACTTTGGGTTTTAATTGGTGAGGGGTGTGTAGAGAGAGAGAAAAACGAGGACAGATTTCATTTTACAGTCAACATCCAGAGTTTTGCTTTAGAAACCTATCTTGGTGCGTGTTACATAATACGCGCTGCTCTTTAAAAGAGGTTAGGGGGCGGGGTGGTGAAAACGCACTTTCTTCCCAAGCCTAGGTAAACTACTTCCAACTGCTCTTGTCTGCTCGTATATTATTTCCCCAGTCACACAGTCGCTGCCGAGGGGTGAAATGTATATATAAAAAGATTTATAGGTTAATTTATGTTGCCTAATCTACTTGTAGTGACTCCACTATGTCAAATCTGTCTCCTCCCCCTTCCCACCTACCCCACGCCTCCCCTCTCCTCTTCTTAAGCAATAAAATAGTTCGAAAGGACCGCGGTCCCTTGTTTAAAGCTACGATTTATTTCCGCCGTCTTTTGAAACACACCCTCTCCTTTCTTCTCAGGGAAACGTTTCTCCTCCCAAAAGAAATCACGATTTCTTTGCACTTCCTCCTCGCAGAATAAATCAAGATATTCGGCGAGGTCGCCTTTCTAGCGCGCACAAAGGTGTCTTTCGCTTTCCCCTCTGCAAAAGGACTAATTCGGATTTTCCTTCTCCTCCACAATACCCCACCCTTCTCGGATATATTAGGGTAAACATGACGCAATGGAGAAAACAAATTCGAAATTTTAATCTGATTTTTACGTCTTCCCTTGTAACTTGGTCATAGAAAATATAGGAATGGGGTTAACCCCCCCCCTTTAAAAATAAAATAAAAGGACTATGCTTTTGAAGGTTCAGGGTGTATATATAAACCATATCTGAAGAAATGTAACTGTTAGATTCGCGTAAAGAAAGAAAGAAAGATTTGGGGCTTCAGTGCCCAAGCGAAAGTTGCTCTCGAAGCGGCCCGAAGTCCCAACTTGTTCTACATCACCCCAGCGAGCCAAAGACAATGGGCCACCAGGCCAACACGTGAGGCCTTTTGCCCTAGCAAAGGTCATTCGCCCCAGCGTGCCCCACGACGCGGCTTCACAGACATTCCCTAACCCAAGACTCCGTTGATGATCTAATTGAATTACGCCTCTTTTTTTTGTTATAGAGACAACAGAACACGTGCTGGAGGTAATTAATTATCTGATCGAGGGCCTCGCAAGGCAGGCCCCGGGATCAGGTAGAGCGACCGCTTGGGACAGTGTCAAGCTGGTGGTGACAAGGAGGATGAAAAACTAGAGGGCAGGGGGGAAAGTGGTTTTTAGAGAAGGACACTCCGCTTGAAATAAAATAAAAAGTACGCGGGGGTGGGGGGAGGAGTGCGCGCGCGTAGATCTGTGTGTTTGGTGAGCCAACTCGATTCCTTCCATGACCTTGAGGATCCACCGAGTCATCTCTGCCGAGCCAGACCCCCTTGTGTGGCCATAAGAGGCCCCCGTTTGCTTCGTGGGAAACCCCAAATTCTCCGGGATTCTGTGCGCCTCCGTAGTGCATCCCGTGGCCCAATTTTCCTCCAGCCCTGTCCACGCCCCCCCCCCGGCAGTTCTCCTTCCCATACCAGACAAGCATCACGGAGGCCCAGAGAATGAAGAGGTCATTTTAGTCGTTTTTATAATGGATGAATAATAACAACAGCAACCTCACACACACACACATTGCCCCGTTCGAGTGAAACTTCCAATAGGAAGGAGGGGAAACCCCAAAACAAACATCCCCTCCCAGGAAGAGAGAAAAACAAAGCCTTTCGCCACCGCCCCCTTGCATTTTCTGTCTTCAGAAGAGAAGAAAGGATTGGTAATAAGTAGTTCGGTAGGTAGATAGGTAAGTTGGTCAGTAAAGTAATAAAGCAAATCGGCAGCGATTTCTGAAAGCAACAGACTCACCTTCCTGGGCTGCTCTGGAGGGAGGGGGGCTTTGGGGATTGGTAGGATGTGAACTCCAGTGACTAAGTTTTATAGGTGGGTGGGTGGGTGTATGTATGTATGTGTGTGTGTGTGTAGAAAAACAATATATATGTAGAAAAACAATCCCTCCTGTCTGAGTCTGTCTTCAGGTCGCTCATTCTGTCTCCTTTTGGCCAGACCCCTAAAATAAAGAATGTGAAGTCTCTCCCCCCCGCTTTCTGAGGGTTGGTGTTGGGTGTGGGGGGGGGGAGGACGTGAAAAGGGGACTGTATTTTATAAAAGCGCTGTTTGAAGCACTCCCCCTTCCCTTCTTCTTCTTCTTCTTCTCCTTCTTCTCAACGCGCTTCTGAACTTGATCAGATTGTATGTTTCCTGCGGAGAGGCGGCGGCAAATCCTGTGAGGGGCCTTCAATGGAGAGACTTCGGGGCTCGGCGAATCTCAGGATATTACAATTACTGGCATCTCTCTTTCCGAGCCCTTTTCTTTCCACACTTGCTTCCCCCCCATCGTTCTTTGCAAATGCTTTCCAGAACGAGAAAATGAGTGGATTTATTGAGACTTGAAGGACGGTGGGACGCGAGCGGGGGGTTGGGAAAATGAAAGGGGTGAAGCCCGGCTGCCACAGAGGACCGTCATTTCCCAACATTAAAACGTTGCGTTGCAAATAAATTAACAGATAAATAAATAAATACCAAGCGTGCCTTTGATCCGCTAGCTTCAGGTTTCGGGATAACATTATACGTTCTCTGCTCGAAAGAAAAGATGTGTATATATTTGCCTTGGAGAGCCATAAGCAGAGAACCAGGGACCCTAAACCACAGACACATTGCCTTGTCTTTCAGATGTTTCAACTCTTCCTCATCTCCCTCCTTCTTTCTTATGCTCCCCCTCACCCCCCCCCCAAAGATTTTGAAGTTTCTTCTTCCACTTCGAGCGGGAAGATGAGGTGGGGGTGGGTGGGGACGATGAATAAAGAAAGACTCAAATGATTCGTAGTAAAAATATAAACAAAATGAAAAATCTATCTATATATACATTCTACACATGCAAACAGATTTTACTCCGAAGGTCGCTTTGGACATGTGCAATAAGGAAAAAGATAAACGGAGGATTTTTGTCGTTTTAAAAACAATTTTCTCAAGCACGGTTTTCTTGGGAGTGCGTGCGTGTGTGTGTGTGTGTGTCCTTCCTTACGCCATCAACATCATCATTACTTTTAAAATCTGTTTCTTGTCGTTGCTCTGATTATGATCATCATTATTAAAATTATCTCAGGTTTAAAGAGTCCCCGCTTTGAACGCGGTGCCGTCGGGGATAGATCCGCGTCCTTCCTCGTCGGTCTCGCTGCCATGCCTGCCCCGAGGCACGAAAATATGGGGAGTTCTGACGTCTTTGGAAGCATCTTGCCCTGTCTTTTAAGTTTTTCATCTCTGTAAGTTCATCTCCCCCCCCCACCCCCACTCCGGTTTTCCTCCATCCTTTTCTTTAAAGACTTTTCTTGTTATTATTTAATTTTATTTTTCGAGAGAAGTGTGTTGCTACAGTGCTTTCGAGGAATTGTTACAGAAAACAAACGGAAATGGCGAGGGCTGAAGGGAAGCAAAGGGAGTCCTATAAGGGGCAAATGCGCGTGGTGGGGGCAATGCAGGGACAGCTTCAAAGGATTTGGAATTTTCTTCCTAAATATTAACGGCGCAGCGGTTGATGGAATCGGACTATACACGCAGAGCGTCATCCTTTCTCCCCCTCCCTTTCTGCTTTGGGCTGGGTAAGAATGATGCACAAGTAATTTGCCCCTAAAACCAGGACCATCATCTCCACCCCCAAGCCCTCTTCTCTGCTCCCCCGCAAAAGCCGCCCGTTGCATCTCCAGTAAACAAAACATTTGGGGGTTGGCGGACACCCTTTAACCTTACCTGCGCCTCACTAAACCCAGCCGGGCCAATCAGAGCGCAGGGCTTAAACGCAGCTGCCATATTCAATGTTAAACGCTGTCAATCAGGCGGGTTTGGTCCAATGGGCAGGCCAGCTGGGGGTCAGGTGACGGCTAGCCAGGCGGTTCCCCATTGGCTGGCAGGGAAGCTGCCTCTCGGAGTTGGGTATTCTCCCTCTCAGCGTCCCTCGCCCTTCCTCTCCCTCTCTTTTTTCTTTCTCCCCCCCCCCTCTCCATATGTGTTAGGAAGGGAGGAGCGCCTGACTTTAGCCAGTGCAAGGACGTCGCTCAGTTGGAGTGGAGGGCGCCCTCCTGGAAGGCAGGAGGGGAAAGAGGCAGCGGGGATCCCCCCAGGGGTTGTGTGTGCGAGTCTGTGGGGGGGGAACAGAGGGGGTGCCTCCGTTCGTAGCCCTTTAGGGCTAGTGGGTGGGGTTTGGGGGGGGACTGTTTTTTGGGGAGCGGGTGTTGTTCAGTTGTTGTTTTCTCTACCCCCCTCTCTTCTTCTCTCCAACCCCCCACCCACTTATTTGTGAAAGGTTTGGAGCGCGTGTGAATGCGGCATTCGTGGGGCTGGCGCGCGAGCCCTCCTGCCTGTCTCTCCATTGTGTGGGGCTGAGCTAGTAGTAGGGAGGGGAGAGAGAGAGAGAGAAGGGGGAGATCGAAAGCTTTGGAGAGCTCGTGTTGTTGTTATTTGGAAGTTGGGGAGGGGGGCAGGAAAGGGGGCGAAAAGGAGACGCGGGAGGAGATCGCCGTCGTGGGGCCGCCTCGTCCTCTTCATCTTCCCCGCGGTTCCTCTTCCTTCTGCTTCTGCTGCATCTCTCAAGGCGGACTATGACCATGTTGTTAGACGGCGGGCCTCAGTTCCCCGCGCTGGGAGTCGGGGGCTTCGGAGCGCCGTGCCACCACCCGCACGACGTGGCGAACCGCGATGCCGCTGCCGCCGCCGCCGCCGCTGCGGCCATGGGGCTCAACCACCCCTTTGGGGACTCGTCCTTTAAAATAAGCCCAGCGCCCCACGAGCTGGCGTCGGGACAAGGCTCTGCTTTCACGCCGCAAGCGTCGGGCTACCCGCACCATCACCATCACCATCACCGCCACGCTCCGCACCCGCCTCACCCTCACCACGCCGGCCAGGTGCCTTCTTCTTATGCCGCCGCGGCCGCCGCGGCCGCTTTCAACTCCACGCGGGACTTTCTCTTCCGCAACCGCGGGGGATCCGCGCTCGGGGATTCCCCCGCCGGCGGCGGCGGTGGCGGAGGAGGGGGATCCGCGGCTGCGGCTGCGGCTGCAGCTCAGCACGGCCTCTTCGGCGGCAATGCGCCCAGCGGGCTCCACGCTCCTCCGGGCATCCCGGACAGCCCTGGCGGCTACTTGCTGTTCCCGAGTTTGCACGATCAGAACCCCAGCCACACCTCCCCGACCGGGCACGTGGAGAACGGGCAGATGCACCTGGGCTTGCGGGGGGACTTTTTCGGGAGGCCGGAGACGTACCGAGGAGTCTCCAGCCCCCGCGCGGACCCTTATGGGGGCCCGGCTCAGTTCCACAACTACAGCCCCATGAATGTGAACATGGGAGGCATGAACGTGGCGGCCGCCGCCGCCGCGGCTCACCACCGTCACCACCACCACGGCGCGGGAGCCTTTTTCCGCTACATGCGGCAGCCCATCAAACAGGAGCTCTCCTGCAAATGGATCGAGGAGCTGTCGCAGCCTCCGGCTCCTCCGCATCAGCAACAACAGCCTCACCAGCCGCCGCTGAGCCGACCCAAAAAGAGCTGCGACCGGACTTTCAGCACCATGCACGAACTGGTCACCCACGTCACCATGGAGCACGTCGGAGGCCCTGAGCAGAACAACCACATCTGCTACTGGGAGGAATGTCCCCGCGAGGGCAAGTCCTTCAAAGCGAAATACAAACTCGTCAACCACATCCGCGTGCACACCGGCGAGAAGCCCTTCCCGTGTCCCTTTCCCGGCTGCGGGAAGATCTTCGCCAGGTCGGAGAACCTCAAGATCCACAAGAGGACGCACACAGGTAAGGCGAGGCACACCCTTGGCACACCACCCTTGGACATGTATGTATATATGTATATATATATATATATATGTATATATCCAACAATATATACCCACCAATACAGTTGTATGCATCTATCTAACCAGCAATAATCCTGAGCAGAAGACAACCAAATTAAAACCCCAGATTCTTATTTTTAATAATTTTGGTTTTGTTCTGGGTAGAGATTTTTTTTTAAAAAAAAGCAGAGCGCGCCAAAAGGTTGCTCTGTATGGCTCTGGAGGTCTGAAGGATCAGAGCTTGGGGAAGGTGGGGTAGAAATAATCTGAAACTATATAAAACGAGTGGTTTGCTTTTGCCTATTTCTGTTTAGGCGTTTAAAATACTATTTTTACCCCTACGCGGTGAAAGTCAGTTTCACGGAGGTTCCTTGTCGATTTCAAACGAGAAGAGAAATAATTCCTGACTGATTTTTTTTTTTAAACTTTCCTTTTACTTCTGAAGATGATATTTCCGAAGCTTTCTTTTCATCTGCAACTCTTTAGCCACCCCTGTACACGCACGCCCCCCCCGCATTCGTCCCTCTCATGGAGTTCTCTCCCTCTGGATGTAATGCGAGGGAAACAAAAATCATTGGAGCTGTGTGTGTTGCTTTTTGCGAGAAAGAGAAAGAGACTGAGCTCTCCTCAGACATCCTGTTGAGGAAACCATACAAATGCTAATGCAATCTAATTTTCGGTTACTTCCGCTCTCGCCCGCTCTCTTAATGCCTTGATTGGCACATCTTCTAATTAAATCACTGATACTTTTTGTCCAAAGCATTCTTTTTTTTAAAAAAAAAAGCATGGAAAAAAGAGAAATAAACGGTTCTGTCCTCTACAAAAAAACTAGCGTAGAATTAGACGGAAACAGCAATCCAACACACATTATTGCCTTCTTGAGTACATCTTATAAAACTGTCTGGATCTCCACAATTTATCTTCAGGGGAGTTTTCTTCTCCGCTTTCTCTCTATCCCCTCCCCTCCTTTTCTTCCTGCCCCAAATAATCTAAGCATCCAATTCTCATCTCATTTTTAACAGTCAGCTTAAGGAAAGCCCGTAGCATTTCAAAGACAGAAATTAAAAGCTACAAAAGGGCCCTTTAATTGAACTGCAAAGTTTCAAAACTCTGTTGTCTCAGAACTGTCTGGTGTCCCTTCACCAGCCCAGAGCCCTTGGCTCCTCCTTGCTCTCTCCTACTTAAAAAAAAATTAAAATTCAGAAACCTGTCTGTGTACAAAGAGCGAGAGAGTTCAGGCAGAGGAGCAGCAGGGAGCCCAAAAGCTGCAAAGAAAAAGAAGAAAGTTTTGCTGTAGGCAGAAAAGGTGTGCTTGTGTGTGATAAGAGAGAAAGGGAGTGGGGAGTTAGTGGGAAAAGCCCTAAACCATTCTGTACCTCCATCCTACTACTGTGTCTCTTCTTTACGAAACAAGTGGCCCAATCTCTGGTTATTTATTATTTTTTACTTGCAGGAGAGAAGCCCTTTAAGTGTGAGTTTGAAGGCTGTGACCGGCGTTTTGCAAACAGCAGCGACCGAAAGAAGCACATGCACGTCCACACATCAGACAAGCCATACATCTGCAAAGTCTGCGACAAGTCCTACACCCACCCCAGCTCCTTAAGGAAGCACATGAAGGTAAAGGATTCCTCCTGGGGACCTTGCTTTTGCCATGGCTCCCTTAATTTGGTGAGATCTGACCACCCTCTTCCCCTGCTCTCATGTAGTGTGTGGGCATATAGAGTGAATGTTTACAGACGCATCTGTATTTCTGTTTCTGTTTTTATAGATATAAATAAAAGTCACGTGTGTGTGGTTTATAGTTATATATGCTTATCAATTAATCAATTATTTATTAATTTGTGTGTTTGAGAGCATCTGTATTATTCCTGAATGCATACCTATTTATATTATACATGTGTACAAAATACATAATATAGTTCTATAGTTATTTATGTTTGCCCATCTGCTTATGTAATTGGAAGTATATATGCACGTGCCTTCATGTGCGTTTATATTATGTATGTAATTAATTACACATGTATCAATCTATATAGTTATACATGTATGTATATTTTATGCATAATCCTATGCCCATATGCTGATTTTGTGTGTCTGGACATATACACCCATGGAGTATTTTTCTGTGTGTATAACCTTCCAGTTTGATACATTTCCATATTGAAAAGAACCCTGGCTATTCTGCTGGTGAAAAAGTAGAAGGCTCTTCCCTGGGCTTTCAAGTAATGATTGCCTCAGTGAAATGAAAATAAAAGGAATTGCGCATGCTGTTTTTAAATTTTTATTTTTTATTTTGTAATTTTCAAAAAGCTTTGGCTTGGCCAGAGAGGGGGCCGTCTTGCGCAAGGAGCAGCTTGTCTCAAGTGCCTGGTTTGTTCTCCCTTGTTAAATAACATTTCATCATGTATAGTTGCTAAGCTTCCAATCCTGGTTTATGAATGAGTAAATTTGGCCGCTGAGTTTGTGAGAGTGTGGGGGGTTGGAACGGAGTGCAGAGTCATCTGATATCCATCCATCCATATTTAAAATATTAAGTGCATATACATATATAATCTGCTCCTGAAATATAAAATCTTTTTTAAAAATCACTTATAGCGAACAGTAGTGCTTGAAGCCACTAGGTATAAAACAGTGCTCTGATTTCCAGTATAGTGTGCTCATCTAATAATGTGCTATCCTGTTTCTGTTTTTATAGAAGGTGTTGTTGTTGGGGATTTCTTCCAGAATTTACCCTTTCCATTCCATATTTAATTATGGGATCAGCTTGGCAGGTTGGCCATATTTTCCACTTATCCAGTAATTTTCTGAAAATAAACAAATAGCTAGATAATCTTATATATATATATATATATATATATATATATATATATATATATATACTGATTGGTGGCTCACTGTAAATCAACTCTCCCCTTCTGTCCACTGGCAAAAAAGAAGAGAGTTCCTTGCTCTTGGACTTGTGGCAATTGTCTCTGCCTTCTTTTTTCAGGTCCATGAGAGCCAAGGGTCGGAATCCTCTCCGGCGGCTAGTTCTGGCTACGAGTCCTCCACCCCGCCAGCCGTTGTGGCTGCCAGCAGCAAGGACTCCAGCAAACCACCAGCAGCAGCTGTTCAGACCGCCAATCCCAGCCACAACCAAGAACTGCCCCCCAACTTTAATGAGTGGTATGTCTGATGAGGACAAATTCAACTCCTCTCCTCCCCCACAAAATCAACAACAACAACAAAACCCAGACTAACCAGACTGTACCAAAAGCATTCCTGTTGACATCAAAGGACACCGGATTCATCTTTGGCCTGTCATTGGAGTTTGCAGGACAAAAAATAAAATAAAAATAAAATAAAAATGAAGGAGGAACAACTACAGTAGCAGCAGCAGCAGCAGCAGCAACAACAACAAACAAGTGGTGGCAAGGGTGTGATTTTTTTTTTTAACCCTATCCAAAAGCCGGAGGCTGGACTTTGTCTCTATTTTTCTCAGGATTTTTCTGCATTGATGGTTATTTCTTTTTTTTCTTTTTTAAAATCCCTCTTCCAACTCACCTTTCAATACCACTCCCTTTATTTCCCAACATTCTTGCCTTTTGTAAATATATACTTCCAATAGATATATACCCACTCCTTTTTGGGGTGGGATGTTGAAAAACAACGAACTGACTTTTACACTTTATGATTTAACTTCCAATAGATATATACCCCCTCCTCTCTCTCTCTCTCTCTCTTTTTTGGAGGGGTTGGATTTTGAAAAACAGAAAACTGACTTTTCCCCTTGGCCTTAGTTGCGATTATTAAAAATAATAAGAAAAAACAACAACCACAGTCTTAAAACTTGCCAAAGTCCTGTATTGTCTTGAAATCTTTCTTTCTCTCTCTCTTTCTCTGTCTTTCTGTCTCTTTTTCTCCTACCTTTTTCTCACCCTCTAAAACATTACACTTGTGAATGTATTTCATCTGATTTGAGAATGGGCCAGGGGTGTTCTTCAGTATGTTTTTCAGGAGGGGGAAATGTAATCTTAATTTCACTCAGCTCATGGCGGTTTAGTATAAACAGTTGCCTTTTTGTAATAACTTTTTTTTTGTAAATACATATCCATGATGCCATATTTATCAATTGTAATTTAATTATTGAGAGAAGTGCCGGAAACGGAAACATATTTATGAGGAAAAAAACAAAACAAAAACCCCACAAAAAAAGAAGAAATTTTGTTTTCTAACAAACAAACAAAATCCAGACAAACTCTGTACAGCTTTTTGGTTATATAACTGCTTTAGCATTAAAAGTTTATTGTTTTGGAAATAACACAGTAGAATCCATTTCTTTCCAATGTTTTCCTTCTATCTTTTTCCTCCCCCAACCCTTTTTCAAAATTTCTGCCTTTGGGGGGGGGGGTGGACTCACAGCTGCAAAAAGTAAATCTAAAAAGAAGCAAGGGGTGTGTCTTCCATTTTGTAAAATGCTTCCCAATTTGCTAGATCTCATCACCTCACCTCCAATTTTCCTTTATTTATGTGAAATGCTGACCACCCCTGCCTCCCTTCCACCCCTGCTTGAAAGGTTTATAGTGTTTGGTTCTTTCTCACCACGGGTGGGTGGGTCGGAGGGAAGAAAGAGGGTTGTGTGTGTGTGTGTGTGTGTGTGTGTGTCTCCCCGCTCCCACCCCTCTTTCGATGATGACCTGCCTGTCCTCACTGCAAATGTCTTATAATGGTTTCTGGGAATCTCCTCCACCACACATGGGGCTCACAATTCACTTAGTGGCCTGGACATCTTGAACTTCAAACGAAGAAGGGAGGAGCTCTAAATCTGCCTTGACAGACACATGTAAACACCAAAAGGTAAACGGAATTAGTTTTCTGAATTATGGGTGCCTATGGGAAATATGCTTTATGTGTGTCTTTGGTGAATGTGAACAAAAATACACTCCCAAATTAATTTCACAGTCCCATATTAATATTCTGCCTGCCTGCCTGCCTATCTAGCTAGTTTTCATGTCTTATTCTGTGTCCTAAACTAAATTAACAGGAAGCAAGGCTCTTTAATTTTTCAGTGGGACTTACTCTCAAGTTGGTAATGGTTGATGTGGTTCTCTATTAACTGAGCACAGAATGTGAATTACTGTTTCTTTTTTAAAATATATATATATGTTGCACTTTGAAGCATTCCATTATTATACAGCATTGTAAAGAATATTGAAAATAAAAGCTAAAATGTCATAGAAGGGGAAGTGGGGCTATGCATGGCTGCATCCATAGTTGGCAGCTGTGAGTGTGTGCATGTGTGTGTGTGTAGGGGGTTGAGGAAAATGTGCACAAAAAATTATGGCCTCTTTGTAGTACAGTATTTCTATTGATTTATTGCTAAATACACTTGGTGGAAAGGGTCTCACTAGGTGTCTTCCATCTGTTGGTTGGTCAAATATAATCCATGTTCATCTGGGCTTTAGGTCATGTTCCTCTAGCGTTGTGATATCAGAAATATGTGTACTGAAAATGCATGGTAGTATTGATGCCTAAATAATCAGTCAAGAGGACTAAGGACATTTGCACCTGGCTTCAACTCCCCCCCCCCCTTTTGAATATAAGGTATCCAGGAAACAAACACATGGTATCCAGGAAACAAACACATGGATTTTGAGAAAGGGATTATGTTGTTTTGGAGGTAGAAAATTTACAAAGAAGCTAGTACTAATTAGAAGCCTCTTGATTTTAGCCCGTTGAGGATTCTTGGGAGTCAAATGAATGAAATTGGCTTGTAGGCTAATTTTCTGGCTCAATTGATCTCAGTTGGTCATTGCAGTCTCCGGGAGCTTCTCGCTTGCGCTGAAAGTTTTTTAAAAAACTTTTCTCCGAGTTTCAAAAGCTAGCCCCGCTGGCTGCCAGAGACCAGGCCTGCAATTTTATTTTATTTTTAAACCCGCAAATCTCCCGACCACGCATTAAATCGGATTTCCTTGCCGGCATGGCTTTTTTTTTTTTTTAACACAAGCAAACAAACCATTCGCGCTTTTGTCTAGCCGGATCCAGCTCTAGGGGGGAAACCGAAGCGGTTTTGCACAGAAACCTGAGGGCACGTGGGGAATCCGTGGCTACACAGAATACAACAAGGGACTCAATTCTGGACTGCTTTGGTGAACTAGAGTCTTAATGATTTTAGCGTTGGCTTTTACTCGCTGGGAACCGTCGGAACAAACCGAATCAAGGCCGCTTCGGATTAAACGACGGGCTTTTCTTTTTTTCTTTGAAAGGAGGGGTGTGTGTGTGTGTGTGTGTGTGTGTGTGTGTGTGTGTGTGTGAATATCCTGGCGGAATATCCTGGAATATTCCGATTCCAAAGGCGTTCGTGTGTAGAGACAAGAGCCGTTGAGTCTAGGGAATACAGTAATCTGCTTCCAAGCCTGTTCTCTTGAAGGCGTGGGGGGGTGGGGTGGAGGAGAGAGAGGGAGGTGATCGGGAGGGCGAGAATAGACCCTCCCTCCCTCCCAGCCACTTTGGCTGTTTTCCCCCCTGCTCCAGGCAACGGTGGTGTTTGGATGCTTCTCACGGGGAGGGGTGTGTGTGTTAGTTCAGTCAAAGGAGAGGAAGATTGTTAATAAGGATGGGGAGACTAGGCTTCCCACCCTGACCGGCCACCTTCGCAGAGGCAACTCAGAAAGTGACGTCCACCCACTCTTCCCGCCCCCACAACACACACTTCACTTTGCGGACCCAGTTGGCTTGGGGGTAGGTTGCCCCGAGCGGCCCCTGTACCTCAGTCTGAACTTGGCAATGAGGAAAACCTCCTGGCCTGCTCAGCCAAAGGCCCCTTCCGCGGTTCAAGCCCTCGGCCAGGCAAGGGAGATGGGGTGAGGAATAATTATGGAGCAGCTTTTATTTTTGTCCAGTGACAGCCTAATAATCAGAATCTTTATTCAGAAGTCCGTCTTGCTGTGCAGAATGGGGCCTACTCTCTAGTCAGTTAATTGATTGGATTTATTTATTTCCATACACCCCACCTGCTTGCTGCTGTCCCCTTCCTCGTTTTTCAATCCTCACAAGAACCCAGCCAGGTAGGGTTCCAATGGGGGGGGGGACGGCCCCAAGGTCACCCTGAATGCTTCATGGCTGACCTGGCATCTGAACCCTGGTCTCCACCCAGACACCACCCTGGTAGTAAGGCAGGGTTTCCTTCCTATGTACCTATCTCTTGAGTAGACAGGCATGGGCTTGTGATGTGAAGCTGCAATCCATACTGAGCATGTTGGCTCAGAGGTAAGTCCCCGTCCATCCAACTCAATGGGGCTTGCTCCTTGGGAATGGCCTTACACTGCAACCAGTATGTTTGGAAGTATGGCCATGCTGAGCTGAGGAGGCACCACTAAAGCCAGTGGGACTTCTGAGTAAATATACGTACTAGGCAGCAAGTGGCATCACTGTGACCTTTTGTAGTGAAGCCTCACAGGCTGGATCTACAGAGGATACAGACAGACAGAGAGATTGGAAGTTTGCCTCTTTGAAATGGAGAATTTTGCCCTTTTAATCTTTTCTTTCCAATTTATTTCTCTCGTCCCCATTTGTTTAAGCACATACATAAAATAAGTAATTATTTTTTTATTAGTATATAATATATATTTTTCTGCAGCATTTCTTTGCGGGCTTGCTGTGAAAGTATTTCCGTTGCTATGTGCAGAACAGACCAGGAGGAAATCACTCCCTGTGGACCTGATCACCATGTAGGATTTTAAAAACTATTATTACCAGTTTTGCAATTCAGGAAGTAACTCTGCATTTGGATAAGGGAAAAATCTTAAAAAGGTGAGACTTTTTGTGAACATAGCCTCCCTGGAGGATTTTTTTTCCTGGGGGGGGGGAATTGGCTATAAAATTGCTAACTGGTTGCAGTGGACAGTCTGTTAATCTGAATCCCATGATATGGAACCCTTCCTCCACCAATTTATTGTTTAGGATTATCGTTATGGTTTTATTTTCTGGTTTCTGACAACATTTCACACAAAGAAATCAAATATTTAATTCAGGGAAGAGGAACCTGTGGCCCTCCAGGTATTTGTTGGACTACAACTCCCATAATCCCTGACCATTGGCCACACTGGCAGGAACTGATGGGATTTAGAGTCCAACAACATCTGGAAGATTGGTTTATTTCAACAAATCAGGGTGGTTCTGAGCATAATGATGTAGAAGTTAAAGTCTCACTAATTTAAGTGGGACTTACTCTCATGTCAGCGTTCATAGCATTTGCAACTCAATAGACTACAATTCTGTACCCAAATCCCTGGCAGTAAGAGCTTTGCAACACAGTAAGACATACTTTTGAGTAGACATGTAGAGAGGATTACACTTTAAGCACCTGTGTGCAATTCTTCAGCTAAAAATCAGTGGGATTTAAAAAGGCATCCCTTTGGATAGATTGGGCCTGATATTATAAATATGAAAACTGTGTATGTTTTGTCATTGATATACAATTATTTTTGACAGTCTACGTTATTATGTCTCGTCGTTAATGCTTCCTGTTCTTAAATATGGCCATAGCAACAGCGTAGATGTTTAAGGGTTACTGTCAACAACGCTCTTGGGGTTATTGGATAAAATGCTAGCCAATGTATAATCCAATGCATGTTTACTCAGAAGCACACACCCCACTTTTCAATGGGGTTTACTCACAAGAGTGCAGCCTTTATTTCAATAGATCTGAACCGCACCACTTTTCTCATGAAAGCTGGTTTACTTATTAGTCTGGTGCATTCTGTGGCCTGTGGGCATGCTCATGTATATCTCGCCATCCCTCATTTCCTTCCCCATCCCCAGGTGATTGTTGCATGGCCAGAAATCTGCATGAGGAGACTAGTACTTGAGTCTCTTCCTTCTGATTCCTTTGTGTTGCAAGTGGGGATGAGGCACTTGGATGGATGGTGCAATATGCAAAGTCCAGGAAAAGGTGCTACTTATACTTGCCTGTCTCTGTGAATGAGATTTTCAGGCTCATCCATGTTTGTGTTCCATTCTGGAGGTGGAGACCTTGCTCAGGAAGTAGAGAAATATGAAGTGATGGGAAAATTAAAGGTGGAAAGGGTCCCCCCCCCCATACCACATTCGTCCTAAATTCTTTGACGGTTCCATGAAAAATTGGCTTGGTGGGGGCTATAAAATTAGTGTACAGGACCAAGAGAGTACCCTTTCACATTTGGATGAATGTTGAAAAATATTTCTGTGTGTGTTGGAAGCTTTACAGCAAGGCTTAGGTTGCAATCCTATTCTCACTTACCTAGAAGTAAGTCCCACTGAGCTCAGTGTGATTTA